CCGCCCGCGGTTGGGAATACCCCCGATGCTGAAGCCATCGAGGGAGCGGCACGGCACGGTGCGCCAGGATCTCTGCTGTGCCACCTTCAAGGTATCGTCTTCTCTTTCTGTGGGCTAAACTACGTGGCTTACCTCAGCCTGACTCTCCTTGCCGTTTACCCTGCTCTCCAGGAGAAACACAAGCAAAATCCACCTGACTTCCCACAGATCATGCCGATTCGGGCCACGTTCACAGCAGGTCTCCCAAACACACACCTTCCCCCCGCCTTCCCCTCGTGCAGCCCTGCAACCTGCCCACCTCCGGTCTACCAACCCCTCCTCTCCCTCTACCGTCTTTCCACACCCTTCGGCTCTCTGGCCACTTTGTCCCCAGCCACAACGGCCACTCAGAGCCTTCCCTGCTCGAAAGAGTCCCCAGCTCGTCTCGCTTACCTGAGGCACACAGGGACTCGGCTCCTGCCTCCGAATCCTTTCGCTCTGTCACTTCCAGCCCAGCAACTCCTCCCTTCCCGCTTCTCTGGACCTGCCCTCGACTCAGCCCTGCTCCTTCCTCCCCCAATCACACTCCACCGGGTCTCTGTGTCACCGGTGACTCCCCCTTCCCTCTCCCTCGGGAATTCCACCTGTTTTTCCAATCCTAGCACCCCCTTTTCAGAATATTTTCCTGGCTCCGCTCTGCTCAGCCACTTCCAGAGCGCTCTTCCCCAGTCCCGAGGCTTTCCCTCCCCTCGCGGAGGGGCTGTCTCTATTTCCCCTCCTCTCCATTTCTGGGGCCTTCCTTCAATTTTCAATTCTTTCCTCGGGGCATTTGCAAGTCCCACCGCTGCCACCTTCCAGTTCTTTCAGTTTGAGTCTCCCTCTCTTGGGTTAAGGCCCTGTAAAGTCTCGCTCTAATTTCCTCCTCTTCCAGCACTTGCTTTTCAAGGCCCGGTGCTGCTCCTTTCCTTCCCACCCCGCTTCGCTCGCTCTGCCACAAGCCCTCTTCTCGCCGCCTTTTCTCGCGACCTACCCAGCGGCAGCCTGAGGAGCGGGGTGCTCTGCGGCTCGATCTTTCTGAAGCACCAGACAGAACACGAAAACACGCTTCACCGGGCTCTGCCCACCTTCGCCGGCTTGGGGAAAACATGTCTAACCAGCTCACAACGTCCCCTTCCTTCCTTGTTTCAATCGCTGCGATAACCACTGCAGCTCCTCGACGCGCTCCTACCCCTGGAAGAAGGAAACGCGCGCATCAACGTTACGAGCTTCCCTTAAACACGCCGCCTTTCACCACCGCCCGCGGAGGAGAGAGTTCACTCTCAGTTACTGGTTCCTGAGCGTGCGTCACCTCACTGCCGTCCGCAGCTGCCTACCTGCCTGCCCCAGCGCAGCCGAGTTTCCACGGCGCAGGTCAAACAGGCAAACAATTCCTTCCCCGTGAGGCAATTCCCAGGCAGGGCAGATCCAGGATCGCGCAAGGACGGGATGTGCTTTACCTGTTCCCACTGCGTTTTCACTAGCTACACCCCGAAGTCAGCCAGAGAAGCCGTTCCAGAGCGCGCTGCTGTCGGCAGCCTCGGCACCCCGACCTCGCACCGCTGAGCCCAAGCAAGGCCAGCCCCAGACGAAGGACCCCCCTTTTCTCCCTCCACAGGCTCTCTCTGCTACTTTTGAGTTTGCACAACCAGCTCTCGTCTGCCGCTGAGACTTACGACTCTAAAGACTAGCAGAGAGCACAAAAGCGTTCTCAGACCCGCCGGGCAGCAACACGGCCGGACTGGACCAAACGTCTCGCGCTGCAGAGAACATCGCTTATCTCTGCCACCCTCCCCGTCCTCCCGCGCGGAGAGGGCCCGACGAGACGGGGAGCAGGCTCGGCCAGCGCCCCTCTGCCGCAGGGGGTCCTGCAGCCGCAGAACCTGGGCAGCGAGAAGTCACAGGAGGCATTTTCCAGCCCAGGCAGCAGGACAGGACATGGACTGCTGAGGTGCAGACCACAGAGGAGGAGGCAGAGCCGCCAGCGACAGACGGCTGGACGTGACGGGGGACGGTAAACACCGAGACCCTGCAGCAACACGAAGCTGCGGGGTGGCCCCATAGAAGAAGATTGTCTTACCCGTACCACGGCAACACGGAGGTCAGGCCTTACTGCGCTCAGCACTGCGGGGAAAGAGGAGTCCCCGCCTCAGAGAGACGATTCAGTGACACTTTCCTGCTTCTAATTCAAAAGGAGGATGCTCAGCAACGCGTAGCCGGCACTTCTGCTCTGCGGGGAAGTGTGGAAACCTGGCCAGGACTGGGGGTCCACGGCCATCCTCCTGGCTTCAGGTGACACGGCCCACATCTCGCATCACTGCGTCCCTCAGCAGTTAGATGTACGGGTCTTTTTCAGGAGAATAAGACACAGAAAATGGACAAACATTTTGCTGCAGCCAACGGCCAGAAGGCTGGCGTCCACTCAGTGCTTATCTCCCGGCCTGGCTTACACCACTCCCATCCTCCTTCCCCTGCCCGTCTCACTGCTTTACACGGGATTAGCCCCATTTTACGGACAAAGCGGGGAAGAACGACATCTCGGCCACCGCAGCCATGTCTCGCCCTGCGCACCGCAGCGAGCGAGGCACAAATCCAGCCGCCTGCCACTGCGTTACGAGACGCAACAGTCGGCGATGGAAACAACGGGCGCAGCGATAGATGCGGACGTCCCCAAAGAGGCCCCTAGAACAGGAGTTCCAGGTCTCCCGTTGGACCCCCTCGGCTCCACCCAATTACCACCTTCTCCCTCGCCAGTCGGGGCTCGTACCTCAGAAACCAGGAGGAATACAGCACTCTGCTAAAGAACAACCGCGGCCTCGACCAGAGGTAGCGAAGGTGATAATTAGATTAAGCCCACTAAGACTCTCCAAGATCAACTCTCCCCATTTTGATCCAGACGAGGCTCTAGTCACATTTTATACCCCCCAAAAAAAATCAGTAGCACCCAGTAGAGAAAAACCCACTTCCCTAAACGCCCCAACAGACCCCTGCTGGAGCAGCAGCTGGCAGATCCAGGGGAAACCACCAGGACGGTGGCACGGGGAAGGGAAGAGCAGCCCATCACCTCCCGAATCAGCGAGGCGTGGGGGGCGGATCGCCGGGGTTTGATCTCACCTCGGGGAGGCGCGACACAGACACAGTAATTCGGGATTCGCACACCTCATGCTGAGAATGCGGGGCTTTGGCGGAGAAGCCAGGATGACCACCTGCGAGGGCAGCCCGTTACACCGCCAACAGCGGGAAGGCAGCGCGGAGCCGTGCTTCCAGGAGGAATTATGCTTCGGACGCTGTGGCCGGGGAGCGGGGCGTTACCCCCGGCCCCAGAGCCACACGTGCGCCCAGGCAGCACGCTCCCAAAACCCAGAGCCACATCGCCCTCCTCAGAGGCACCGGGGACAGTCCCGGCTACGGGAGGGCAAACGCGCCCACGGGAAGGCTCCCGGCCGCCGGGCAGGGCAGGGCAGGGCTGCCGTCC